GACTTGGCCAGAATCTAAACTCGGACAGAGAGATAAAAACAGTAAGTGGACGATCGATATGAAAAGAGGTCGTTAAACAAACAAAACTTGCTGGATAGACGATAAGGGGAAAAAAAAAAGAAGAAAAAAAAGATTGTTAACGTCTCTTGAGTACAAGAGATCATGTTTAAGCTACCGTCATATATTTATAATAGTGCGCTTGTGGTTTCGTTCATAGAAGTGGTTACGCTTAACTCTGTTGGCATTTATTGCCCGGTGAGTGTCTTGGGTCCTTTAAGCACACAAATAGTTTTAACTGATAACTTCCGGTGTATGGCTGAAAGAGGACGGGGATGGGCGGAAGAGGGGCCAAAATAGCGCGAAAACCAGGCAAAGACGCTGCCGACGGCCACGTGGCCGGGCGTCGTGCGTCCTGGTGTCTGAACGGCCGTTATTGGAATTTCGAAAATGAAACGGATTTTATTTCTTCACAAAGAAAGAAGATAATTTTAAAACAAAATAAAATCAATTCAGCGTCCGAATCAGCGTTTCAAACCTTGCGTTTTGTATTCTGTCAATTTCTTATTGCATTCTGTCTTATTAAGCAAGAAATTTAAATCTGCTCGACGGATGAAGATCCATGTCCATGAAAAGTAAATGAATTAATAAAGAATAAAAGTCACCCCATCTCTAACCCTGTTAAATCCTGGTCAGAAAATAAAATCTGCCCAAAATTTCACTACCGTATTAGATGTCATTGTTTATGAATTTTACAGAAGAAGTATTGTGGTTCATAATAATTTTGGACTAGTCTTTCTTTCATCTTAATTTCTGTTGCTATTTATAGCAACATTCAGTTCGTTAATCTACCACTGGTAAGTGAATTGGTAATAAAGAATAAACCCTCGGTGTGAATTGAAATCGCATCCATTATTTTTGAGGAATTCTGACAGATTAGACTATAGAAGCTTCATTCGAATATGACGATGTACGGGCAGTTGTAAAATAACTATACGAGAACTGTAATAAAAAGCAAGAGAAATGATTGATCCGTTTTTTACGGTTTATCAACCCTTTGTAGGTTATTTAAAGCCAGAAAATATCTTTAGATTGTAAGAATTTTTTGAGAGAACAGTGATTTAACGATACAAATCTTACTATTTAACCCATAGCTGTAGGGAAAAGAGGTGGATTCATACTTTACTAAATGGTATTTGCGCGTAAGTGAATATAACGAAGCCGGCTGGAATTGGAACCCTGCTCTCCGATTAACAATTTTGAGCTATTATCCATTACCCATTACACCAACCGCACATCCAATTTTACAGCCCCCCCCTGGTATTCCTAAACGATTACCCATCTAGGTACTGATCACCGAAGTTAAGCATCGTAGAGCCAGGTCAGTACTTAGATGGGGGACCGCTTGGGAACACCTGGTACTGTAAGCCCCCAAAGTCCAATCCTTACCTCACAGTCGGCGGGGGGGGGGATGTAAACGGTAGTGTCAGAGCTATGCCGCCCGGAACTTCGTTCCTGGTAGGGCCACCCAAGGCGGACAGGTCTGACAAACACGCCGGCTAATAAGGGCTCTGGTGAAAATCCAAGGAGCGTCTGCATCGGCAACCGGCGGCTTCTGGTCGTTCCTGTCTCTGCGTCTGTGGGAACCCCGCGGCAAGCAAGAACGTTATCCGAGTAGGCCTGGGTACCCTACTTCTGTAATTTATCCCAAGAATCTTCTTCTCATAACAGGAAGAAGCCGGCTCAATCCGCCCAGGGTGAATGCCGCATCAGTACAGTACAGTAGGTACTGACCAGGCTCGACGTCGCTTAACTTCGATGACCGTACAGGAACCGGTATATGAACATGCTATGGCCGTAAGACTACATCGTAAGAGGAACAGTTTATGCAGATATGTGGGGAAGATAAAGGTTAACCTTAGGCTTGAACAGGTTAGGATTGTCACGATCAAGGAAGCATTCTCTTTAGAGTCGGTTCCACAAAACAGCTGTTCGTGGGAAAGAGCTGCTCGAGTGGAACTTACATCTCACTAATGGAAAACGCACATCGAAGCTTACAGCACCTGGTATTTCCAAGCGGTTACCCATCTAGGTACTGACCAGGCTCGACGTTGCTTAACTTCGGTGATCGTATGAGAACCGGTGTTTGAGCGTGATATGGCCGTAAGCCAAGAGAACATTAGCATTGTATTTAAAAATACTGTCTTCTGTCTCCTTGAATATTGTTCTTTTGATTGCCCTTTCTCCGCGGTAAATTTTCTCAGTTTCCTTCACTATTAGTAATCCATTTGCGTCTTAGTGGCTTTATCGCCTTGCTTGGGATTAAATGATTGAAAAGAAAAAAGAGAAGAAAAGAGGAATTAAAATAATAAGTCTCTCTACACTTCTCTTTTCTACTCGGATAGAAAACCTGCTGGTTAAAAGCAATATTCCAGGCTTAACTGCCACAGCCAGTATTAGCCACTGACAAATTTATATTGCATATATTGTCATTACATTGCTACATATGAGCTAAAGTAATAATCGGGCAAAAAGATGGTGTATCAGAAAGGGTTAGATTTCGCAAAGACATTCGGAAACTTTTGTTAGAAACAAAAGAGTGCTGAACCGCTATGTAATATTTATCCTTCTATATGACTAGGGATGCTGGGTAATTTTCACATAGATACAGGAGACTTGAAACAACAGAAATATCGTTCAAAAGAAAGATGCTGAGAATACCATGGACAGTACATGTGAGTAACGAGGAAGTGTTAAGGAAAATGGAAGCAAAAAAGAGGCATACTTACAATCAGAAAGAGGAGAGTTGAAACTCCTGTGACATATAATGAGAAAAGAGGGCTTGAAGGATTTGACATTCAGAAGACACATTGTAAGCAAGAGCAGCCGAGAAAAAAACATCGAATAAACAAAAGCTCGTGCAAATAAATGACGGAACAAGCACTTGTAGATATAAAGGAGATAAAACTTGCTTAGAGTTAAAAAGGATAAGAAGTTGTGGAGAGCTATAATCACTCATGACTTGAATTGTTTCTAGGACATTTTGAAATGATAGAGAACAAAAATAAGAAAGAAAAGGTGTGATAGATTGTGAGTATTTGTGTGTGTGTGTGTAAGAACACAATGGGAAAGAGAAAAGAGAATATATATATATATGTGTGTGTGCGTGTTTTGAACAAAAAAATATTAAAAAAGTAAAATTTTGAAGCACGCTGGGTTGTATATTAATAATTTTTTGTTTTATTATTTCAATTAGGTTCTTCGACTAGTTTAGGCCAGCTTGCCATCATCAGGAGAAAAAAAATCCCTGCTTGTTAGTAGCAGTGAACTACAGGAGTGAATGACTGTTTCTGAAAAAAAATGAACTTTATCTGTAGTTTTAATTTGTTTTTTTTATCGTTAATTTTGGTCAGTCCTTGCGTTGGTCAAACGGCCTCTTTTAAGTTGTTTTAAATAGAGGCTGGGGAGATTCATGCGACTTAGAATTCCCTCTTTGGTCATTTTGATAGTTTTATTGGTTTTTGGGAAAGCGATGTGTGTGTTATATATATATATATATATATATATATATATATATATATATATATATATATCCAAGTATCTGAGTGGTGTATACAGAATAAATTCCAATAACCAACAAATACTATTCTTAAAAGAGAGCTCAATACAGAAACAAAATGGCTATTTTTGTAGTGATTTTATGACATATTTATGTTATAATTTTCGAATAAATAATTATATATATATATATATATATATATATATAGAGAGAGAGAGAGAGATAGATAGATAGATAGATAGATAGATAGATAGATAGATAGATAGATAGATGGAGCGAGAGTGGGTGGACGAAGGTGAGGAAAGAGAAATATTGAAAGATAAGGGAGATAGTATGAGTGAACGTGACGTATAAACATATATATATATATATATATATATATATATATAGGGAGAGAGAGAAAGGGAGATAGGTAGATAGAGAAGGATAGATAGATAGAGTGACAGATAGATAGATAGATGGAGTGAGAGTAGGTGTACGAAGAAGAGGAAAGAGAAATATTGAAAGATAAGGGAAATAGTAAGAAAGTAAGAGTGAGCGTGACGTATAAACATAATAAGAGAGAAGGTAGAAAGAAGGAAAATCAACGGGAGAGAAAGAAGGAAAATCAACGGGAGAGAAAGAAGTAAAGCTGTTTGGATATAGGAACTTTGCGTACTTGATATTATTATCACAACTCTTCAGCCGATTCATTCTTCAGCTTTCTTCAGGTGTATAATCCATTAAGAAAGAAAATTGGAAGTATTGACCTTCGTACTTGGGGTTTTCGGAGTGTTCTTTTGACTTTTGATCAGTTACTTTTCCTTTCCTCTTATTCTACTTATTTCCTTTAATCTGTCCAACCCACAATAGACCTTCCGTTCACCCATCTAAGCCGAAGCCTGTTGGAACCCTCTCCCGTCTCTGACAATCACCTCAGCCTCCTAACTTCTTCATAATCATGAACAAATGAGATTCCGAACACATCAATAACACGTTTTTTGTTTCTACAATGTACGCCAAATAGCTTAATCAGCTTGTCGGTCTGCAGCGACTCCTTCGCCTGTTCGTTTGCACAACCACGGGTTTAGTCACAAACTCCGACAACTGCAACGAAAACAATAATTAACAACCTAGCAACTCTTTTTCTCTTTCTCGTTCGCTCATTTTCTGTTTAACAACGATGAATGGACCCCAGGGAAAACAAGGCGTGTAAAGAAAGACCAGGGTGAAGGGAAGGCGAAAAGCAAGGAAAGAGAAACAAAATCGGCTTGTGTTGGGAATATTTTTTCTCCATTGACTGACAACAGAGGTTAAAAAAGAAAAAAATATAGACAAAAAAAAAAACAAAACTAGAAAAGGCTTTGTAAACTAATCTTATTAATAGTAGTAGTAGTCGTCAGCGCAGGGGCTATTATTGTTGGGTGTTAACAGGAGATCTGACTCGTTTAATCCCCAAATAGTAATGGTGATTTTTTTTTTTTTTTGTGAGAAGGCGTACGCGGCTGCCGCCTGTGCCCATTGTTATCTCGTCTGCTTGCTTAAGCCATACGTCAAACGACATGGGTTTTGGTCGCTAAATGACTTACGATCGAAACTGAGGTTCACTGTTTATCGTCACTATCCTTGGGAGCTTTGACTTTTTTTCAGTTTATTTATTTGCCTTTTCTTTTAAATGCTTTTTCCCTTTTGTTTCATTGGCATTGTTTTTAGTTTGAATTTTTGTTTGTTTGAATCTTCGAAACATCATTTTTTCATTTAACTCCCTGTTTTCCATCTTTTCCCCTTCCTTTTTCTTTCTTTCTTTCTTTTTTTCCTTTCTTTCTTTCTTTCTTTCTTTCTTTCTTTAAAGAATTGTTCACTTTATCAGCTTTTTTCTTTTGTTTTCTTTTTTCTTTCCTTTCTTTCTTTTTTCTTTCCTTTTTGATTTTTGCTTTCTTGATCTATTTTTGTTTTCTTTCTGTCTTTCTTTTTTTCGTCTTTTCTGTTTTTCTTTTTTCATCCCTTTTTATTTAAAATTCTTCCCTTTATCAACTTTTTCGTTTTCAGTCTTTCTTGCTTTCCTTCTTTTTTTAATTTAATTTCTTCACTTTTTAATTTTATTTCCTTTCTTTTTTCGTCTTTTCCGATTTCGTTTATTTTTCATTTCTTTTTTTTTTTTTTTTACAAATTCTTCACTTTATCAACTTCTTCATTTTCTTTCTTTCTTTCTTTCTTTCTTTCTTTCTTTCTTTCTTTCTTTCTTTCTTTCTTTCTTCTCTCGTGTGAACCTTTGTTCCAACAGCTGTCCTTAACCGCAGGAAAACAGTCCGTTTCTCACCTACCCAATTTTAGCCTGCCAAATATTTTGAAGGTATTCAGTGGTAGACGCCCTACTGAGGAGAAAGGCGGTGCAGACAAATCTCCCACTGTTTAACTGACCACCTAATCATGACAAAAAATAAATCCGATATCTTATTTAAAAAAAAAAAAAATTCACAATATGACTTTTTAATATGAAAACGGAAGCTGAATTGATAAAAAGAAAAGGTGGGTGTTAACCACACAAATAACAAGCGAAACTCTAAAGGAAAAGTGTGAAATAGATTCGTTCGGTAAGAAATTAAAAATTTAGTTCGACTGAAAAGATAATGATGTTTTTTCTCTATTCTTCCTTTTAATTAGTCTGTCACGAGAAAAACAGGAAATTATTGTAATTATTTTTTCTTTATTCAGACATAACTTTGGTTTGTTTCGTTTTTTTACAAACTTTCTCTCATTTTTATTTATTTATTTTTTTCCGTGAAATGGATATTCTGATCTTTTATACGAATTTAGACTAGTTTGGTATCTGGAATGGTAGCGAAGTTAAATTTAGCTAAAAAAGGAAACCATTTTAAGATAATGTACTTCAAAATCCATCGACACCCTCATAGCTTTAGCTTTCTCTTTTATGAACGCAAAAGTGATGTAATTTTTTATTTTTCAAATAAGCGTTATTTTTGGAGGGTACACCCGTTTTCCATTTTGACACCCGTTTTCCATTTTGACACCCAGTTTCCATTTTGACACCCGTTTTCCATTTTGACACCCGTTTTTCATTTCGTTTTTCGTTTCATTTTCTTATCAGCTGGTCGAGAACAGGAAAAAACACAGAGATGTCAACTCAAACAGCTTATCAAAGAAAAATATCCGCTCTTCGACGTATTTTACTTTAATAAGATTTCTCGAATATTCGGGCCGGTAGACGAAAATAAATAAATAAATAAACTGGTTAATAAATAAACGCAACGCCTACTTAAATGCGAGTATCCACTAGAAATAACGTTTAAAGTGATAACAATCTGTCGGATTAATAAATACAAAAATCCATTACTTTTTTTAGAAATTGCTTTGTATACATTTGGATACGAAACTGAGCCGATATGAAAAATTTCGTTTAAAGGCACTCACTATTCAGTAATAAAGCAGAAGTAATAAAAATTTGACATTTTCCCAATTGAATACATGGTAGATGATACTTCGCCTTTGTGCATATACATGCTTGGGTGAACATAATTATTAGAGGCGGTGATATGTATGTTTTATGTTGTAGTTTTGTTGAAGTTATATTTTGGAATACAGTTTGATTTCTTGAAGAAATTATAGTATATTATATGGATTAAAGTCATGGAAGAGTTCTTTCAGTTGGTTGTTGGTTGGTAGATTTTGTTTGGCAGTATATCAACCTCTATCGGTTATTTAATTCCAAAATCTAAATATTTTGAACAATTTTATATCTTCAACTAAATATATTTTGAATGCAATTGTATGCCTTAAACTATAGATAAAATGTATTGTCAGTCATTTCACTACAAAATGTTTTGTTGGTAATTTTATTAAATTGTTTTTTTCTCAGCATCAAAGAAGTTTAAAAGATTGGGAAAAATCTATCATCAAAATTTACAAAATCACTTAGTAGTTTATAATTTCAGTGGTATATTTCTATTTTATTTTTTCCAGGTAAATTAGGGATATACATTTAATCACAGACCTTGGCAAACTTGACATGGACACAAAATAGTTGGCAGAATACATTTAATTCTTGAGCTGTAAAGAAAGTTTTTTTTCACTGACAAAAATTTTTACACCTGAAATTGTTAAAGGATGTAAAATAAACAGTTTATTCGATTGGTTTGATTTGTTTGTTTGTTTAATCGCACATCAACTCTTTATGGGTCATTTAATATCATAATTTTTTTTTTTTTGAGTTTTGAAGTAATAATGATATATGTTATTCTGCTTTCACAATTGAATACATGGTAGATGATACTCAGCTTTTGCACATATGCATGTTTGTGTGGACATAATTATTAGAGGCGGCGATATGTGTGTTTTATGTTGTAGCTTTGTTGAAGTTATATTTTGGAATACAGTTTGATTTCTTTAAGTAATTATAGGATATTATATCGATTAATGTCATGAAAGAGTTCTTTCATGTTGTTTGCTTGATTGATTTTGTTTAGCGGTATATCAACCACTATGAGTTAGTTAATTCCGAAATCTAAATATTTTGAATGCAATTGCATGCCTTCAAGTACAGATAAAATCTGTTGTTGGTCACTTTACTTTAAATATTAGGTTGGTGCATAATTATCAGTCATTTTTTAAACAATATTTATTATGAAAAAAGAAACATAACAATTCAACAATAACATTTTTAAATGATTATTCCGGATTGTATAATTATCCAAACGCATTTTTATAACTGGAATATAAAATAATATTTATATTAAAACAAGTAAACAAAGCAGCAATTTTTATAAACAAATAACTCGCTTACGAAAACATCTGATAATTATGCACCAATCCAATATTTATTTTTATACTTTTATAGTGTTTTGTTTCGGTTTGGAGGTTCACTATTCGTCCATAGCTGGGACCCTAACAGGTGCTATCACCCCGAGTCAGGGTGGACTTGGGAACAACAGTAATTAAGAGGTGGTTCTACACTCCTCAAAACCTCCAATATCCTGATCAGAGGTCTACCGGATGTAGTTTATCGTCATACCCAGGACTATGGATGATGCGTTGTTTTGATAATGAAGAAGCCTGCATCAAACATATATATATATATATATATATATATATATATATATATATATATATATATATATGTATTTGGTTGGATAGATGTATGTTAGCTCTATCTCTGATATTGAGCGCTTTCTAATAAGTACCGCGCATATAATATATAAATAATTATACATATATATATTTATTTATATTTACACACACACACACACACACACACACACATATATATATATATATATTACAGTGATATTCTTCCTGTACAAGGCCTGGGAGCCACCCGATGTAGAAGGTTACTGAGTAAGAGTCACAGTTAAAGCGGATATGTTGGGAAGATAACGGTTAATCTTGGACTTAAACAGGTTAAGATTGTAGTGATCGGGGAAACACCCTCTTGGGCGTCGGTTCCACAGAGCAACGGTTTGTGGGAAGAAGCAGCACGAGTTGAACTTATGTCTCACAAATGGAATACGAAGGGAATGATGTTGGTTCGCTACAATGTGCGAAGCTTGGCAGCGTTTACCCTTGAAGCATAGAACTGGTGGAAGATATGTCGTTCGTGTGAACACTTTCCATGGAAATAGCGATAGGGTAGTGAGAGGCTTGTGACATCTCGTCTATGAAAAAGGTGTTGTACGTCACTCAGACATTGTTAATTACGCACAAATAAACTTGAGAAAGATAGGAATCCATATCCAAACAACTATAGGCTAAATATTAGGAACTGTAGAGATTTACTTGATCCCCACCCACTGAGTCAGGTTGTGACCCAAGGTCAGTTTTTAACGTGGGAACCCGAGTGTTTTCACTCGAGCCGCTGGTTCAAGTTGGTCTCAGTTGGTCATAGTTTGTCCAAGCTGGTTAGAGCTGGTCTAAGCTAGTCATAGTTGGTCTTGGCTTGTCATAGATGGTCCAAGGTGTTCAGAGCCGGTCCAAGCTAGTTGTAGCCGTGATACCACCAGCACAGGGACGAAGCCCTGAGCCAGGTAAGTAGATATTTACTTGACCCCCAAACTGAGTCAGGTTGTGACACAAGGTCAGTTTTTACCGTGGGGACTCGAGTGTTTTCACGCGGGCCGCTAGTCTAAGCTGGTCTTAGCTGGTCCAAGCTGGTTAGAGCTGGTCTAAGCTTGTCATAGCTGGTCTTGGCTTGTCATAGATGGTCCAAGTTGGTCAGAACCGGTCCAAACTAGTCGAAGCCATGATACCACCAGCACAAAGACGGAGTCCTGGGCTAGGTAAGTATATTAGGAACTGTTATCTGGAAAAATCATTGCTATGCCAAAAAAATAAATAAAATAAAATAAATAAATAAATAAATAAAAAATAGTTAATGTATTATTCAGTCGCAGATAAAAAAAAAGAAGAATTTTTATAATTCCAAATGTTCTGGCTTGAAGTAACCAAGTGTTGATAACATTTTGTCAACAAGCAACTTTCTTACAGGTTAGCGGCTCTAACAATTCAAGACATAGAAAAATTCCCCAAGTCAGAACAAGAATCATATTTTTTATTCATTTTCTTTTATGTATTGTATCTCTTCAGAACATGGGCGGACATAACTCTCCACAACTTCTTATCCTTTGTAACTGTACGTAAGGGTTGTCTCTTTACTACGCCTTGTTCTGACGTCCTATTTACATAAGCCATTTAAATAGATTACTTGATGGTTCTCTCTGTCTCTTTCGCCTCCAATATGTCATGTGAGTATTAAATATTTCCATTCCCATTTTCCTCATTATGTTTCCTAGGAACTTGTACTTAGAACCAGAAAAAAAGGCGTTTGAAATTTCTAGTATACTTTATAACGAAAAGAGGCTCGAAGAATTTGATACTCACAAGATGTATTGAATGTAAAAAAAAAAAAAAAGCCAGGAGAAACATTTAACGAATACATAGTAAAACATTGGTTTCAAGGGATATTAACAGGCAATCAGTTTGGAGTTACAAAGCTGACGAAGCTGTGGAGAGTCATATTCGATCACGCCCTGAAGAGACACAGCACATAATTGAAGACATGTTTGCGGCTTTTTGACAAATTTGACGTTTTCCAGTCAAATCAATTGTCTATTGGTATTGAAAAAGAATTTATTGCACTCTACTCATCGAAACATTAAATAATATTTACTCAAAAACAAATTCCAGAAGTATGTGGGTCGATATAGGATTCTCTTGTGATGCCCCCCCTCCAAAAAAAAATAAAGTAGGCATATATATATACTTTCTCCTTTTTTCGTAATTTTTGCGCTAAAATCCTGGGAAAATGATATATAAATTGTTATAGAGCAATTTTAGGAAAATCTATAAGAAAGTGGGAAAAATATTTCGCCCTTTACAACTTTATCGGAATAGAGTGACTTTTAT